TTATGTGATAATTTTTATCGTGGAACACGCCTGACGCAATGAGCGAATCTAAAAACAGAAATTTCTTTTTAAGTTAATTGTTCATCATGTGAATTTGTTTTCTACAGTTTTAATAATATTAACTTACATTTTAAATGATAATTTAGATCGTAGAACACACGTGATGCAATGAGCGAACCTAAAAAGGAAATTACAATTTAACGAGGCAATTTAAAAACAGGTGTTAATTTCTATTGTACATTTTTCATAATATTAACTTACATTTTATGTGATAATTAAGATCGTGAAACACACCTGATGCAATGAGCGAACCTAGAAACAAATTACATTTCAATTAGGCAATTTATAAACAGGGAAAAAGATTAAATTAAATTAAAGACCAATAAATCGCATTCATCGTGTAAATATTTTCAGTTAGGGGTGAAGGTGGAGTCATCTCAGCACTTGCTCAGGTGTTAGGTCTCATCCGCAGTGGACCGCGTCATTCGTGGCCCCATGCTGCACAAACCGAACCGCCTCCACGACACAAAAGAGTTCAGATTAGCAACACAACACTAACTCCACCACCCCAGTAAGATCAATCAATCGCATTCATCGTGTAAAAATCTTCAGTTAGGGGCGAAAGTTAGTTCTTCATTGAAGCCTTAGGTTTAAAACTTACCCTATCTTTGGGCTTGCGCTTTAGATTATTTGTTGGCTCCAAAAAAATTATATAGTACATAGCATGAAATCCTCCGATTCTGTGAAATAAAAAACTTCTTTTACTAAATTTATGCATATAAGGGCGGTATTATCACCTGCGAAGCGAATGAATTTGGCGAAGCGAACGGTTTGGCGAAGCGAATGGATTGGCGGACGCAACTTAAATATGCATTAAGAGTGTTCTTTTTTACCAGCTTGTGGAAGTTCTTTGCATCGCGAAAACTTTTAATGCCTTCCCTGCCCTTAAATTCGCTCCACCAAACCGTTCGCTTCGCCAAAATCAGATACGTAAAAGATTCGGAAATTATTTTACATACCTCTATGTGGAACTTTCGTGACCCAAATATTATGGCGAAAATGTCATAAAACTTATGGCCATATTGTATATGGCGACTGGTGTCTAGTTGCCGGTCTAGTGGCCATGCCTACCAGTATCGTACTTTGTATTATGTGTAGCGATTAATCTCAGTAGACAGAAAAGCGCAGACAACATCTGAATCTACTTTTTTGACATGTACATTGCTTAGTAATTGGCAACTTTCCAATGTGTTTAACTATTTGTGTTAACAAATAAAAAAATTGTCATAAGGGGGAAAGAGAAGGTTGCACTACTAGACTCAGTAGCCGACAGTCAGTAGCCAGTTGCCATACGTAATGCGAATTTGAGTAGATGGTTGCACATCAGCTATCAGTCGCCACACATAATAGGGCCATTAATCGATATAAATAAAGCGATGTTTTCTATATACTAATGTATTTTTAGTAAGCAGCCTTTAACACATTTGCACAGCATGAAAAATTGCAGTGAAGTTTACATTTAAGACTTATTTAACCTTATATCTACAATAATTGTAATGTATTGGAACTAAAAACGAATAAACTTGTTGTATCAAATAGTACAAAAATATAGAAAGCGCTATATTTAAGTATACAGATTCTTTCAGCCGACTTCGCATTTAAATAACTGTTTTGAAAAAAAAAACCAAACTTTACTGAACATATTACGCAGTTACTTAATGAATACGAAAAATAAATCATTGAGGTGTAAGCTAAAATCCATTTTTACTCCTGGTCATCCTTTTCCCTATCTTTATCCTTTTTCTTCTTCTTTTTCTTTTCTTTCTTTTCTGACGCCTGTGTCTCTTCAGCATCAACACCCTGCGTGCTTTCTTCTGCAGCCTCTTTATCTGATTTGTGTTTCTTCTTCTTTTTCTTTTCACTCTTTTCCACACCAGCATCTGTCACTACTGCGGTATTTTCATCTTGGCTAGATGCACTAAGTTTGCGCTAGAATTACAACAAAAAGGAAACCGATTTTTGTTTATTTATATTTTTAGGTAGATATGACATTACGCCTTACCTTTTTACCCTCTTCTGCACTGGCACCATTTGTTGGTGCACTTCGCGGTGCTACGGCTGGCGCTGGTTTGTTTGCACTGTAATCAACGAAACCAGTTAGCCACTCTTTTGGAGTATTTTCATTCGGGCGGCCATATTTGTCCAATTTCCCTGCCGTTATCAGCGCTTTCTTTGCCGATGCCTTTGGTCCCAAACCCCATTTACGCGGGTAAGTATCTCTCTCCATTATAACTCGTTTAATCTTTGCCACGACACCGTGATCACATGATGCCATTGTTGCTGTAGTCATCTGTGCGATTGCTAAACATATCGCCTCACCTTTAGTAGTTACGATGACAATTTCTTGATCTATCTCTATACCATCTTCGTAGCGTAAAACACCAGGTAACATAATTTTGGCACCATAACACACGGCATTCACCTGGAAATTTCGAACATGAATATTTATAAAATGATTGGTATATATGAACATATTTCAGGAAACTTTTTGCATATTTATAGTTTTAACTGTATTCCGAATAAATCTTTGTTGCAATGTAGGTGGAAGTCATTGAAACATACACACATCGAAATAGTATTTCTGTTCCCAATCATAGTCACAGGAAGAACTGAGAATATTTTCCCTGCCGGCTTATATCATGGGGTAGCATGGAGTACTAGAATGTATGTAGGTGAACAAAGCGTTTTCAAGACACGTATGTTATATGTACGTGGGCAATGCGTCCGAGAACGATTTCCGCGATCCTTAGATTGACAATATCCACATACTTTTGAATTAATGCACGAAAATGAATGGAGTACTTTGCATTCAAATTAGTCAGTTAATGGAAGTGTATGCGAAAAAACCTTTATTTCAAATCAAGGTCATCAACAGGGAACGGATTTTATGGAAATTGCCTTTTTTTCTGCTAAAAAGATAGATTATATTCGATTAAGAATGTCCACGATTTAGCTTTCCCTGATTCCATATATACACATTTGATGTAGCCTTTTTTTGCCTTTTTTAAGATATTTGCCTTTTTCTGCCTATTACACCTTTAAAAAGTGATTATAGCGAGGAAAAAGCCCTTATTCCTGATAATATAAAAGTTTCAAACGTTCCAAAATAATGTCTTTCGTTCATGCTTCGCCTGCTTCAGGCAGGCGCAGAGCGAAACTTATGTACAAGCAGCGCTGCGCCCAAAGCGAAATTAATGTATGTATGTACAAGCAGAGCTGCGTTAAAACAAACAAACACTATACAACGTGTATTTCATTTGGCAACTGTTTTTGTTTTTTACTTCAAAATGCTGCTTGCTGCGATATCGGCACATGCTCACTGTAGGCTTCTGGGTGTGGCATACATACATACATTGATCTTCAGCTTTTCCTTTATTTCATAAATATAAGTTTATTAAAAAAGCAGTTGGCGCTGCGCAGCAGAAACCTTATTTTACATCGCTGTAGTAGCATACAGAATAAATAACAGCGAAGAAATGTGTGTTTCGCTTCATGCAAATGCAACAAGCAGATCAACATTCAATCAATTGAGTTATGGTCTGATTGTGGCAACTTAACTTACGGCTCTCTCTTCAAAATTCTGTTAAATGGGTGTTGCTTATAATTGAACAGCCGAAACTTAACCTAACTTAATGCCACGTTGAAATCTGTTTCATTTTGATTATCTAATACTACGTTATAAGCTCGTATTATTTGCAAATAACAATTTGCAAATAACTAAATCACGCAAATAAGTACTTATTAGTGGTACTATTTGCAAATAAGCGCAAGACGCCGCCATTCTAGGGTTTATTTTCTTTTTCGATGGTCATCTTATGAATAATAATAATAATAGACTGGCGCTTACACATATGTTAGTATTTGGCCGAGCTTCTCCTCCAACATGTGGCATGCGCCTTGATGTTGTTACACAAAGCGGAGGGACCCACAGCTTTACGCCGACTCCGAACGGCGATTGTAGTTTTATGAGAAGCTATTTTTCATGGTAGAAATACACTCGGAGGTTTGCCATTGCCTGCCGAGGGACGACCGCTGTTAAGAAAAAACCTTTTTCTAAATTTTTTGCGATGTTGCTTTGACCAGGGCTTGAACCCAGGTGCTGGTGAGTGAAACCGCGCACTGCTTACCACTACACCACAGCGGCTGGTCATCTTATTGCCTTTTTATAATCAAGACGTTGCCATTTTTGACTTTATATTCTTTTTCGATGGTCATATTATTGCCTTTTTATAATCAGGCAATATTAAAAAAGAATTTTTCACCATCGAATAAACAGTGAGTTAGGTATTTGCAAATTATTTTTATTTGCAAATAGCTTACGTATAAACGTAGTATAAGTTCTACGTTCCGTTAAGTTGAAATAAGTTGCCATAATCAGGCTTTTAGACTTAATGCATGCATATATATGTACATAACTATGTTCAAATTAGAATTTATATGGTAAAGTAATTTAGCCCTGTTTTTTTTGGGAATCCTGCCTCTGTCTAGCCGAATTCCTTTTTCCAACGCTGAAGTGGCATGCACAACAGTACATATATACAGTATCGGTCATATCTATAGCACGCCATTTTAAAGTGATATTGTGTGCCACATATGCTTATTTATTTATTTTTAAGAATTTTCAATTAAAATACAGTTCTTTCTCTAACAAACCCCATATAAACCCAAGTTTAACAATTTGTAGAAAACTTCAAAAAAGTGCAACAAATTTCCCCCTAAATTTCAAACTTTTTTCTCGGAAGTGTTTGAATTTTTCTGAATACACATTTTTATAGCCCAATCAATTTTAGTCTGATAATGTGCAAGTTTCACTAAGAAAATTCTATAGAAATGTTTGTAGTTAAGTTTAACTAATGATTTAACTATATTTTAAAATGGTTAAATTAACTGCCCAAAGGCCAAATTCATAGTGCTTAATTAAAAATCTAAAGTTAACTGCCGATTCTGAGTTAACTACGCACTGTGAATTTGGCCTTAAATGTTTAGAATTCGACAAACAAATTTCAAATTTGTTCTACGCCACACATATGGTAAGTAAAAGTTAAAAAGCAGTATTTAAGTTGATTAACATGGTGTGCAAATTTGCATACATTAAGAGAGGAAACTGGTTACCTCTTTTAATATGCTTAAATTTAAACAAATTTTTTAGAGCGAAATTAATTCGGCAAAGATTTCTTTGTGTATTTCACTCACGAGCTGACGGTATTCTATTGCAAGTTTTGTTTGATATGGAGGGAAAATTAATCGAGTGGGTACGGAATTATCCAGAATTATATATTTTGGCAATAATTGCCAAATTATCCAGAATTATATAATTTGGCAATAATTGCCAATTGATCATTAGTAAAATAAATCATCTTGGTTTCAATGAACTTCATTTTACTGAAAGTATCGGGCGACATACTACGGATGTGTGTGCATTGGTATCACTGATCGATGATGATTGGCAATGATACTGAACTGGTACGGCATTGATTTGTGAAGATAGATCTTAACTTTTATTATTATTACCAATCGATTACAACACGTACATGTACTAGGGTTACAATTGCCGGCTAGATGAATTATGGATACTAATGAAGGCAAAATTCTTCCCCAGAGAGGTTTTCCCAATTGAGTTTCAATGCGGTTTCCCCTTAGCTTTGATGCAAAATTACTCATGAGGCGTCGCGAAGTACGCCGGGTATTTGCTAGTATAAAATAAAGCAAGTGAACATAAATCAAAGTTAAATTAAATGCTTGCAACCCGCAACTCTCACCACTCGGCTACCACGGACGGGAAACTCGCCGCTTTGTTTGCTAACTTGTACAAAAGACAACAGCTGGCCGTTTTTACCAGTGTTCCCCTGATCTGAGTTAATTCCCAAAAATTTCGTGCATTTTTTCGGCTGCTTATGCTCATTTTAAAAAGAGGAATATGCATGAGTTAAAGCAAATAAAGGCTTGTTATGCAAATAATCGATCCCGTTTGTCTACCGTATTAACCACAGGAGATAGCAGTCTCCAATTTCCGTAAGTGTATTCATGTTTGTCAACATTTGATGTTATACTCTGGCATTATTTAGAAATAAAAGGAGATTGACATTTTTGCATCAATGCGTTTAAGAAACAGGAAGTCAGACTAAAGTTAATTTTTTTTTGTAAAACATTTAACCACTTAACTCTTACAAGGTTCATCTAATTTCATTAAAAGTGGATTCAGAAGTATTAAAATTTACTACAAAAATTATGCAAAAAGATTTAATAGGAATAGGAAGCCCCCAATCAAACCTTAGCGCGTTATATGTTAATTTATAAATATGCCTGTTTTACCAGAAAATCTAAAAATAAGTTTTATTTACAGTCCAGTGTTATCCACAACTAAGATACTTACCGAACTATCTTTCATAATGATACGCTTGTGGTTTACAAGTAAGCCTTCCAAAGGTTTAATTACCCGCCGAAGCATAGTCTCATCCTTGTGATTTTCATACAGGTACATAGCATCTAATACATCATGCATGGTGACCATACCATCGCGTTCAGACTGTATTCCCGAACGTACACGTCTCAATTCCAACATTTGTCCTCCCACGCCTAAGACTAGGCCTAAATGCACGCACATGGTTCGAATGTAAGATCCAGCCTCACAGCTAACCCAAAAAACACCTTTAGAATACGAGGCAAATCAAGAGGAAAAGATCGTCTTAACGATAAATGTACATGTATTGCACTTAGCAGTGCAACCGAATTAATATAGCATTTTTATTTTGTTAAAGCAGAGGAAAATAACACCACTTATATGCAGATGTGCTGTTATATCCATGTGACCAATGCCATTCGATTAACGATTTTGAAAAAATTTTTGTTTGTGCGGCACTCACCCATATTTCGCGCTTCATCATAGTCTAGTAGTTTGCTATCGTAAACAGTACGCACCCGCAACTGCCTTTTCACTGCAGAAATTAAGGGTGGTCGTTGAAAAAGAGCACCACGTAACTTTTCCAAGCCTTGACGAACTTTAGCCACCGATTCGACTGGCGAATGTAATTTGAAGATAGCTACATACTCTTTGCCAGCACTCTGTTGTGATTTAACTAGCCGCGTGGCACGATCAATACATACAATGAGACAGCCTAGAACAATACATTAGTTATACGAATGATGTATACGACTGCCTTTTACGCAAAACAAAATGTATATTGTCGTTGTAAGTACAAAACCGCGTATCAACAAAACGCAAAACCGCGTATCAACAAAATGCAAAACGGCGTATGTGAAGTTGAATAAATTATTTTCTAGAGAGTAAACACAACTATATTTTAAAGGGTTCTCTTTTTTATAAAGAAATCGCATTTCTGGCTAGTATATTTCAGGACGAATGTGAAAGGATTGAGCCAAGAGCAGTTACGCGGTTCCCACGACAGTCGGGTCTACGTAACCGGGACGACCCAGATTTATATCTGGCCAAGGTCTGTCACTCCAGCAACACTTCCCAAAAAGTCTTTGGGGAATTTTTATGCTGCTACCGCCGGTTTTGCAGAATGACGATACGCGGTTTTGTACTTTAAACGACGATATGAACATACCAGTGACTTTCGGATCGAGAGTGCCAGAGTGCCCAGTTTTCTCAACCTTCAAAATTTTTTTTATCCATGCGACTACTTCATGTGAACTGGGGTTAGATGGTTTATCTAAATTAATGAAGCCGGACTTCATATACTCCTTAATATCTCTACTCAGTGGAGAGGAACCATGTGGTAATGGTGTATAGTGGTTTGTTCGTACGTTCAACTTGTCAAAACTTTTCAATAGCAATGGCCATTGTGAAGCATCTAACTTGGCCGTTTTTTCCGATGGTTTCACCGAAAAGTCACCAGTTTTCTGCAAAACACCAATATCATCCAAATCAATAGGTTCTTCCTTGATTTTTTTCTTTTTCTTTTCCTTCTTGATTTCTGAAAGTAATTTTATAGAAACCACGAGGCATAGGCATTTTAAAAATGGGTGTAAAATAAAGTAAAACTATGTACATTCAATTTAATAATCGAAGCAGCGATATATGAGCATTTTACGAGTCATCAGTAACCGTTTCCTAATTTTACTTACCGATATCCGCCATAATTCCTAGATTCAAAAATAAAATTTAGAAGCAACACGGGACACGTTTTTGGGAGCAAGACGTTCGGCGCGTAAAAGAAAGGTTATACTTGAAAACTGTCAAAACGTAGGGTTGCAAAAAGTTGTTAAGCACGTGTTCCGGTTAAGCTACCTTTACATGAGGCAATTTTTTGACAGACCTAATCGCCCGCAAAAGTTGACTTGTTATCTACTTTGAGGCAGGCAATTTTTGAATAACTATTTACACGAGCGCCTTTTCTTTGGGCAATGTTGATTCGCCTAGAAAATCAGCGTTGGCTGCCCCCAACTTCATTGGAAGCGATTAGTTGAAAGGCCGTTCAAACCAGGCGATTCATGAATGAAAAACACAAGATCACGCAGGAACAAAAAAATAAGAAGTAGATTTTTTTGAGCCGGTTCTACGACATCTTGTTTCGCTGGAAAACGAGCGAAAAGTAAACAAAGTAAAGAAAACAGCGAAAATCAAACATAGCCAAAATTATTGCCAGCCACTTTAAGGGCCGGTTGTTCAATATCTGATTAGCACAAATCGGAGGTAGAAGCTCCGGTTAAGTACAACGACTGCTTTATCGATCACAAGTGACATGCATGATGTCGAAATCGTCGATAGTGTAGTGGTAGTGATAACCAGACATTGAGCAACATTTAAAGGCTCTGTTATGCATACTTGGCATTGCTTGAGAGTTGTCACATGAGGAATCTGTTAAATGAGCTTCGCGTGTAAGCGGTTACCCAACGCACAGCATTACATACGTAAAAGTCTGTTGGTTTTTGATTTCTACGTAAAAATGGTATAGCAGTGCATGCAATGCCAAGTATGCATAACAGAGCATGGCATTGCTTGAGAGTTGTCACATAAGGAATCTGTTAAATGAGCTTCGCGTGTAAGCGGTTACCCAACGCACAGCATTACATACGTAAAAGTCTGTTGGTTTTTGAGACTTTTACGTATGTAATGCTGTGCGTTGGGTAACAGCTTACACGCGAAGCTCATTTAACAGATCAAGTATGCATAACAGAGCCTTTAACATTGTTGTATGCATGGAGTCGAAGACGTCGATAACGATGTTTAACCGCAGATTAGTGTTAACCAGACATTGAGTAACCGGCCCTAAGCACACAATTTAGGTAAAATTAAACGGCCCTAATAGATTAGAAGACAAATGCAATATTTTCGCATTTAGCAAAATTAAAACACGTTTTTCGCTTTGGCAGTTTCAACTCGTTCTTCTTTTCGCTCTATTCTTTGTTTACTTGTGGTCACAAATGTCAACGCCCAGGACGGCGCAATCTTGTATTCTATCATTCTTGGTTCGAATCGTGGAAATTTTGGAAGATCACAGGGTTGATTTTAGCATTTAGGGCCGGTTACTCAATGTCTGGTTAACACTAATCTCCGTTTAAACATCATTATCGACGTGTTCGGCTCCATGCATATAACATGGAGTTGTTGTTGTTGTTGTAGCAGCATACAAATTCCCCAAAGACTTTTTGGGGAGTGTTGCTGGAGTGACAGTCCTTGGCCAGATATAAATCTAGGTCGTTCCGGTTACGTAGACCCGACTGTCGTGGGAACGACGTGCCAGACCATGGAGTCGATAACGATGTTTAACCGGAGATTAGTGTTAACCAGACATTGAGTACCCGGCCCTTAAAATAGTTAAGATGTAAGGGCCGGTTACTTAGGCCCGGTTGTTCAATGTCTGGTTATCACTACCGCTACACTATCGACGATTTCGACATCATGCATGTAACATGTGATCGATAGAGCAGTAGTTGTGCTTAACCGGAGCTTCTACCTCCGATTTGTGCTAATCAGACATTGAACAACCGGCCCTTAATGCACATATATAGATCTAATGAAAGCTTATTTTCTCCTTTATGTGATTAGTAGATTTTTCTATTTTGTTAATGACGTGATTTAATAATAAAAATCATTTTGCTTTTAATTTTGTTATGTTTTTTTTTATAAAACCTAATTTTTCTGAAAAGTAAAACATATGTACATAAAAAAAAGATATTTTTAATACATTTCATACGACTTCAAAATATTTTAAATTAACACAGTAGTTATTCCAATTAAAAGAAATTCAAGAATTGATTTTCCGACCTTCAATAACAACAGTAATTATTATTTCCACCTCAAAAAAGAAATACCTTTATAATCATTTTATTAATCAAAGAAATGTACGTATTCTGCACTTATACCGGCCTCTTCACTTTTAGAATCAAAATATCCCCGGCCTCTCCACCCCCCTATAACCATGAACCAATTAGAACAGATCTGACCGGTTGAGAAGCAGCCATTTGTAATAGCAATTGAGAAAAAAGTGTATGGCGGTAGTCATTTTGAAGTTTGCTATTTCTGTTTTGCTTCTTTTTTATGTGTATTTTGTCGGTGGTTTATTTCAGTGATTTTTAAGTGATTTTGTGTGCAAATGTAATTAAAATGAAGTGCGCGGTGATTGGATACAAAAACACGTACAAAAATAATAAATTGGTTAGCCCAAATATTTGCACAACATTGCTTGTATTTTTTCTTTATGCTTCCTCTTCATATTCTTTGTTTACTTTTCACAGAAAATAACATGGCGCCGAAATTATAAACATCAGCCAGAAAATTACTTTTTTCTTTTGCTTCGTCTTGTCAGATCTTGTGTAGTTGGATCATGGCCTATACCCGGAAATTTTTTTTTTCGTGTCGATTTGCACTAAAATTTTCCCAATACAACGTCGCGTTCTTGCATGATCTCGTATTTTTGGTGTATGTAAATCTACCATGATCCTATGGGTGTCCTAGCCCTGCGTTGTTCTATACTCGTTGCAACCCTGTGTAGTTTTGCTGAATACTGCTGAAAACTATTGCCCGACGTTGGGGTTTATTAAATTCAAAATGGCATTTTTTCGACTTGGATAGAAGAAGGTGGTTGGCTTTATAGGATTTGTGTGTTTAAAACGTGTCCAAAGATTGGGATAAATATTGTCAAAAATAATCAAAAACTTTAAAATTCGTGAGAGGGAGTTTGCGAAGAACGAAAATGCCGCGTACTAAAGTATCCAAGTCCAGTAAGCGCTTTCGCGAGACATCTAACTGCGAAGAAAAATTGCGGGAGTTCGAAGCATCTTTCGATAGCTATCTGCTCACCTTGGAAAAAAAAAGGAAAATCTCAAATTGAAGCCATAGAAGACAAACTTTATATGTTATTGGTTATCACAGATTCTAGTGTTTTGCGTTTACTTATGGGTGATATACTGTCTTTGGTAGGTACAGAAAACGATATGTATGTCCATGATGCAAAATTTTGAATACTTGTATCGTGCAATATATCTACATACATATCGCAGATTTATTTCAATATTGTCATAACTCAAAAAAAAAAAACTAAACTCGAGAAAAAAGGCTTTAAAGTCTTCAATTTAGATGAATACAAAGATGAATACAAATTTTGTTCTACTGAGGTTCTGGTAATCGGTACATCTGTAATTTTTACACAACTTAGAAGACGTAGCGATAAATTTCTGCACACTTAACTCATTTTTTTTATTTTTTGGATTATGACATTATTATACATATGTATCTACATCCATTATAGATAATATGTATTCGTTTTTTAAGAATTTAACAAAACTCGAAGATTGCAAAAAGTATGCCAATACTTTAGCAGACAATAGCGGAGGCCGTAAGCAAAATTCTAGCAAGCAATTAAATCCTAACGATGAAGGTAATTCTTAACTTTGATAAGTATAGACTCTGCAACGCATTTTTCTTTCTTTTGGTAATGGTCTGGGTTCATTTTCTGATTTCTTTTCTTTCGCTTTCTATTGATATATAAACTTCACTCATGTTCCTCATCTACCAATACATTCGCCACACATTTATCATGCATCCTAACAACAAACAAAAAAAAAATTGGTAAAAGGTTACCTTACAGAGGATAGTACAAATGGCGGCAGTGCAATAGGTGTATCGACGTCAATTTTAACTGCATATAGTCGACCGTCTACAAAGCAGCAGCCTCAACGTGGTCCATTAAGTTCAGCACGAGCTCGAAGACCGCGTCGCAGCCGTTCAGTGTGCGATGACAAAGTGCATTCTGCAACAGTTAAGTCCACGTCAAGTACATGCAGTATAATGGATACACGCGTTTCGCGTAGTAAAATGCGCACTCCAACTGCATCACGTTCCAAAGCCTTTAGTGCTGATCGCTCGTCGCAAGTTTGTGGGCAACAATCTCCGGCAGCAGCTTTTTTTGCGTTGGCCTAAACCTGGCGAAATGGTTTTGTCCAAATGCGGAAGTCCAGTCGTAGCTCATGTGTAAGTACTTTATTTATAAATTGATCAAACTTCGATTTTGTTTTTCCATAAAATAGAAATTTTAGAAAAAATTGTGTATCTGTATTACATCTTAAATGTGCGATGGTCCTCTGCAACGACACAACTAAAAACTAAAAAAAAAGTCCATACTATTATTGAGTGGCTCATGCCTCTAATCCTTACTAAAGCAGTAGTAGGATTAGAGCCAAGGAGGGCCTTAAGTAGAGGACCATCGATATGAAAATATTTTGTTACAAAATAATTATTTGAGAATTTGTTTATTGTTCAGCATGCCAGATAAATATGCGAATGTCAACATCCCTACAAGAAACGGAATATTTTCTTTACGCCCAAAGAAACTGGAAGACCTAAAGTCAGATATCGTTAACGCAATCGACCAAGAGACACTCGACCAAATCAGAACTTTGCACGATAATTTAAATTTGATCATGAAAATGGCAGATGGCTCCTTACCGAAATAGGACTACATAATAGTTTATTTGTTTTTTATAATTCACTTTCCCATACATACATACATATATATGCATATTACATAATACATACATCTTTTGAATTATTTGAATCTACATCGAAGTAAATTTTAAAATAATGTATCCCACTTTGTGTGCGAATTGGATAAAAACAAACTTTTGTCTATTCAAAAGAAATTAAACGCAAAGGATTTATATCCTTGAGGTGAAAATACATTTAGAAAATGCGAATTTATGCTGAAATTAGGATGTTGTCAAACTGCTCGCAAACTTCTGTAGAATTAGTTAAAATACGTTTATGAAGCAATAAATATGTATTTTATATGCATGATTCGAAAAGTTTTGATTAATGTCCTTGGCAAAAAATAAATGGATGACTTCCCGAACGTTAGCTATGCTACACATGTAAATTCAAATATACCTAAGGGCCTACTCTAATGCGATGCGAAAGAGAAATGCGATGCGATAGGCAATCGCCACACGTATTACTTACGACGTATTTCTCTTTCGCATCGCATTACAAAGTAGCCCAAACTGGATTTATGTAATGTGCAGCAGTGGCATCTTAAAATGTATAGCTACGGTTTCAGCATTACAGTACTGTTGGCTGTGGGTTCAGAAATGCATCAAGCCAAATCATCTGGCTATTTTATTGGGTACTCTTTATGAATTTGTACAACGATTTTGGGTTGCTGTGCCCAAACGCGTGAATCGAATCAAAAACCTTTTACACACTATGTATGGTATTTTATGCAAGTTTCCGAGCTGAGCTGTAAAAAAATCCACGAAATATCTGCAAAAGGTGTTCAGTCCCTCTTCTTTAGCAAAACAGAAAGGAGCATTATACTTTTCATAAAGCGGCGTTTATCCTCCTTCGTTTAGGGGGGTTTAGGGAGCCACGCCCCTCCCCCTCCGCCCCACCCCTAAATCGTTGTACAAATAGCTAAAGATTTTCCATTTTATTTATAAACTATAATTAATGAAAACACCTGACATATTCATCAACTACAGTTTAGAAATTAAAGATATTCAGCCCTATTCTGCATTTCGACTCGAATCGAAATTTTCTCCGTTTGGCAGCTTTGGTATTCTGCGTTCCGTCAGAGAACTTAGATAGATAGAGAAGGTGCAAATTTTTGGAACGTAAAATTGTTTGGCTGAAAAATAAATCCATGGAATATCACCACAGCGCGAT